TTTTTTTTTTTTTTTTTTTTTTTTTTTTTTCTTCATAAGTCAGATGCAGAGATTTTTTTTTTGGTGGACAAGTTTCGACGAAAGAAACAATTTTAGGTATTCAGGTCGTAGAATCTTTCACGCGTTCACACGTGTCCTGTTACCCCGTATGTTACGAGCAAACATGATTTATGCTTCACCTAGTGACATAATTCCATTGCTGCAGAATCAATTAAGTTATCCGGGGATTAATAATATGATCGATGATCGAGTTCGATACTTTCATCGGAACAGAGCGGCCGGCCGGCGACGATGATGGTCGTTCGCGATCGCATTTCAGCGATTCTCGAGAGAAAAGTAATTGCACACTCTCATAAGACTGGATATCCTTTGTACGAAATGCAGGCCAGCAGAGGTAGATGATAAGCGAACCGTAAACGCCGGCTGACATGATGAACCTTCCTTCTTTCTCCTTCATTCCTGATGGATGCCCGCGATTTCCAGCGATCGCTCGAATTTGCCATAAACAATAAAATTACCGGCAAATTATGCAAAGCAGCAGATTATACCGACCAGGAGTCTAGAAATTTTATTATCCGCCGGATATTTTTTCCATTGGAGCTGTTCGTTGATTCGAAATCTCTGCTCGTTCCGTGAAATTTAACCCAGTTGGTTTGACATCAATTTTTACGTACTATTGTGTTTCGTTCGGCCATTATTTTTTGCGAAAGGGAGAAAGTACGTGTTATGTACGTATGTTCGTTATTATGTACAGGATAGAAACAAACGTTTGTCCGTGGCTATTATAGATGAATGATCTACACTTTCGATTTGATGAAAATGCATGTAAAGAACCTGTCACAAAATTGACCTTGAACTTGAAGCTCAAAATCTACTTATCACCAAGGTAAAACTTTTTCTTTTTTCAAGGAACCATAGGTTGAAATATTTTCATCATTTTTCAAAACAACTATTAGGTTGTGACCTATAGTTCCTTGGAAAAGTTTTACCTTCGTGATGAGTAAAATAGAATGCAAAAAAAAAAAAAAATTCTTTTTGACCTTGAAATTCCATTCTACATGCATAATTTATCACGTGATATATGATGTTGGTTCAATAATACTAGATACAAGATACTACTAGATATTACGTCAGTTCCTAAAAAACATTAAGAAGATAACGATCCTGTTTCTTAAGCACTGCCCACATATGAATTGCATGTTGAAATAAAATGATCATTAGGAGAGTGAAATAAAATTACTATTACGCGTTTCAGGGAATAGTTTACTCTCAGTGTCGATACTTTCTCACCATATTATGTGAACTGATGGCTAATCAATTTGATAAGTAATTCATAAACTCTATACATAAATCTATTCGTAAAATATTATTGCTTAATATGTGGTATATATAATGCGTCTTATGTATTTTAATTTTTATTCAATTTTTAGTCAATTTATTTAAACAGATCATGGAGAATATTAATACTCTATATCCATGCTAAATGACTAGATAATCTGTAACTTTATTTTGTAATATCAATTTTACTTCTGGATTGTGTTATCCTCTTGTGCTCCAGAACATAGTAAATTGCTGATAACTATTATTTGTTATAACTATTTTATGTCATTTACACTATTGTTTGCATTCTTTATTTATTTACGTTTCTATCTAGTTTATTTATTTATTTTCCTCTTTCATATATCTGTTATTCATTCATAGATTAAATACGAAAATAACGAAAAGTCTTATATTACTGATTAGATAAAGATAAAATAGAACGCATTTGTCAAGTCGAAACTTTCGACTGCAATTAACGTTTCTTGAGTTCAACTATAATTTTTCTAGCTGCACCTTTTTACCACATACTTAGGCACATACGATACGAGATTGATTAAGAAGTAACAATCTTTTTATTCGTCGTCACACTATTACGACATGACATGGTCCGAATTGGAACAGTTGGTTTGACAAGTAATCAAACACGACTAACAAAATGATCCAATTAAATTAAATAGTACGGTATACTTTTAGAAATGTAAATGATTTTTCATAAAGTGTATAAATAAAAGTTTGTGTACTCTATTGAATTATAAAATTTTTTTATTTGTTTTTGCTTTATGTCTCTGATGGAGATGCTATGCTTTAACCATTGACAGTCCCAGTATTAATAATCACATCTTTTTTTTTGGTCATATGTTTAGATCAGGAATCGCGTAAAACGAACTTATCGATTTTATCGTTGAAACTGGGTCAACAAATTACCAGGTTAAGCAGGTTGCGTCGCGATACTGTTGCGTGTCTAAGGATTTCGCCTTCCAGCAGGCATAGTTGTCTGATTTTTCAGCTGGTGACTTGTACAATCAAAGTTTTCACTTCATTCTGAATAATCATTAATCAAATGTATCTGACTTGTTAACGAATTCCTCTTAATCTGATATTAAATAATATCTTTTAATTTTTTAATTTTTACGAACACCGATATTAGGATCAATGAACTGTAAAGAAACTTTTAACAGAGAAGTCATTGACTAATTAAAATGACCGTTAAATGATTATAATTTTAAGATTACCCAAATATTTGCAATGTAATTTACAATTTAATATCGTCTCGACGATAGCAACGAGAGCAAAATTTGCCAAAGTTGCGTGATTTTATTCTATGCATCGGGATCGTATTCTATGTATCTTCGTTTCCTCAAACAAATGGTGTAACTTTGTATGTTACTAACATAAAACTGATTGGTAATGCAGCCGGAGCTTTTGTCCAAGATAGAAACTGGGTGATTATGAAAGTAGAAAAGCAAACTTCCAGCATTTCGAGAAACGTAGATAAAAGTTGAAATCATACGGGCATTTCTTTTGACTGAGAATAAGGCATGACGCCGTTCTGAAATAAGATTAAAGAACAACATATTCCATAAACCGAGATTACAAGAAAATACCTTAGAAATTTTGGTATGATCCTCAAAATTTTTTTCTTCTTCTTACAAAATTAATCGTTTGAAATTAAACGTGCCAAAGTAACTGTTAAGAAACCATCGAGTTAATTGGAAATTACTGAAACAAAGAATTTCATATATATTGTTACAGAAACTATGATTAACTCGTAGGCTCATAGATCAATACGGTAATTTTTATTTGATTACAAAAATTTAAGATATTTAATTTTATTTAATTATATAGATGTATGATATAGAATTATATTCTTTCTAATAGAGATTAGTAATAAAACGAAATCAAATTAAAAACTCTACAACCATAAAATTTTTATGGCGCCTAATGTCCAATGATATTGGTCATTTAAATTTGAATATGATGTATCGTTAAATTATTGCGTTCGTCGAAAAAAAATTTGATACGAACTACACTATTCATAATCCTCGAAGAATGGAAGAAAAATCTTAATAGCGTTGAAATGATAAGGTTACGTTTCCTAACGTTTTAATAATGATTCCTTCCTCCGTGTTTTCCTCAAATTTATGAGAATAAATTAAATTAGATTCAAGAATATATCCAAGGATTGATGTTCTATAAAATATTAAATCATGATGTTCTATATTAAATTATCATTTAGCCATTAATTAGACGAGGGATTAATTAATTTGAAGAAAAAAAATCTGGTCGCGTAGGAAATTAAAGTATACCGAGAAGATCAGGATAAATATCATATACAGTTCAAAAAGTAGCGCGCATGTGATAGGCATTGCGTTTCTTTTAGTAAAAAGTAAAAGGGAAGAACGTAGTTATATAGTATATAGTGTACATTTTATCATAGTAACAAGACAAGTTTCGAGTAGTTTTTATGCTAGCTCGTTTTTTTTTTTTTGTGTGTGTGAATTGGATTTGGTAGTTTTTGTTTGTACAACTTGTTTGGAGATTATCGTAAAATTCAATCGAGTTTACGAACCAGCTGATCATTAAGAAAACTATGTCACTTATCACGACCGATTAAAAAATCAGAAATAAAGATTTAAAAATAAAGAGAAAGCAAACAAAACCTCTTTCTGCTTTTCATTAAATATCATCAAATTTTATCCTTTATTCCTTAGATCATCGAATGTATTCTAGAGATTATGATTTTTCATGTAAATTTTTATTTTCATTTAAATGTGTATTTAAAAAAAGTACGTTTTTTCAAAGGTTTTTGTATCACAAAATTATTCAATTTTAAACGATCTCGCGATTCATAGTTCCTTTGAAAAATTTGGTCCTCGTGATAAGTAGAATATACTGCAAGAATAAAAAATTTGACCTTGACGTTCAAGGCCAAGGCAATAAATCTCCACTGAGGAGAATCACGCTATAGTACATTTATCTTCATATATTTATATATGTACATTGTAGTTTCAAATCTAATTTTCTAACACGTATGCTTAAGCGTTTAAGTTAAATTATTGTTTCAAAAAGAAAGGATGCAAATTGGTCCTAGAAAAAGGCAGGCTGTCGAGCATTTTCTTATTCGACGCATGATAGATATATTAAAGTGAAACGATAAGCTAGTTACATTAAAGAATTACATTAAAGAACATAGAATGTTTACATTGTGATTAGAGTTATCAGAGTAATATAGTTAGATGGTATATAGTAACTGGTATAGTATATAACTCCAGATGCTATAATATATATACCAAGTTAACTCGAAATTTCAACTTTTCTGATTTTTAAAAGTAAAAAAACATTTGCCTAAATATTTATACACTTACTACAGATTTTATGCGTGTGTTATGTATAATACGTAAAATATTTAATGAGAGACAATTCTTAGAATTATAATTGGTTTGAATTGGAAAAATTTTGTTGCAAATATTTAGCTGTACTGGATATTAATCAAACATCTTGTAATTTCTATCTTTTATATTTATATCTTTAGATTTTTTTCAAAATTGACAAATATAATTTTCATAATTAGACCCCATTGTAGTATTAATAAAATTTCAAAATATTTTACAACGTAGGTAATATATTTATAAGAAGCTCCTTCTTTACTTTACTCACTGAGAAAGAAATTTCTTTTCCAATTTTTTATCGAAAGCGTCGTTGATACAAGTGCCTGAACTGACGAGTCACGTAAATCTAAAATTAAGAAACATTAGTTTATTATAGGAATGGTAAATACTAATAACACTCGTTTCATTTAACAATTTAACTTGCCTTGCAATTTTATCTCGTACGACTGAAAAATAAGACTCACTTTTCACATCGTAAAAGTAAATTATGACACTTGATTGTTCGTTATCTTATCATTGTTTTATTATTGAAAGAGTATTCTCTGTTTAAATTATGTTATAATTACTATTATTTCACTTGAGTTCCTTACAATAAAGTTATATTCCGTTCTTAATTTGTTGAACATGAAAGTCTAATTTTCACTTTTAATTCATTTGCCAACTTAAGGGTTTCCAAATTCTTCGCACTCTTGAAATTGAACCACAAGACAACGATAATTGATCTGACGTGATGGTTAGTTTTTTCAAACGTTGCACCGCGAGCAATCAAGATCCAGTCTCTATGCAAGATTATCTAAGCCATGGACCGGTACCCCCACCGACCTAAATGCACACATATAAATGGTCAAGGCACCTTCTAACCACCTCAGAGAGACCGTGGACTTAATCTCGCGTTGTTTGCATAAACGAGGTGTGGTTGGCCACGTGGCACCGTTCATCTCTTCTTCTCATTTCTTTCAAAGATAGTTCAACGTTACGGGAATGAAAGAAGGATCTCGCGCAAGTTCGAAATAGAAAAAGATCGTTGTGTCAATGTTCTCGATCTTTGGATCTTTATTCACGGGATCATGAAGTGTCTACGGGGTAGTTGGAAGTTGAATTGGTTCGAGAAAATTGGTTTCGGTTTGTTGGTGATTTTTTATTGTTTCTCAAGAGACACGTCCGCCTTGACCTTGGACAACTCGACAAGTACGTTCGTCGAGAGATGTCGAGCGGACTGCAGCCTGCGTAAGGACTTCATTACTTGCGGCAAGTACAGGGTTGTCAGATGGCTTCATGACGTTGTAAACGAGAAGGTACGATAGTGATGTTCAGTGATCTTCATTTTGTTCAGTTTCATATTAAATGGTAACTATAATAAGTTCGAATGTACGAGAAATTTCATGCTCCAGTTCCAAACACAGGTCCGCGCTGTTAAATCCGCATTGTACTCGTTATATCCAAATTAGTTGTCCAGATGAAACAATTTTTTCCACAAGGTGCTCTGTTGTTGCAACGAGCAAAGACATTTTTTAGAGGGGGAAATTAGTGGAAGCGGCGTGTAACTGATCGAAACCCGTAACGATCTCGCTACAAACTATTATTATCATTCACGTTCGTGCAGCGGCGAGAGTATCGACGCGTACTTTCTTCAGCTTTTACTTTTTAATTAACGTTGTTCGACAATCGAACCGTGCTGTCGTGGTCTATATGTGGCAATTAATTTACAACACACATGCACGCACGCACGCACGCACGCACGCACGTACGTACGCACACATATACACATATTTTTGCGTTTCGTAATACAAAACACCGTGAAATCAACAGGCATATTACGACATGAACTGTAATTATTCAATTACTTTCGTTAGGAATTCAGCTATGGCTCTCTTCGAATCGTGAGAATTCCATCCATGGCTGGGCCGTCGATACTCCCGAAGTTACCACAGTCCCGCGTGTTCAAGACCGAGGTAATCGAGGCCTTGAATTTCGCCAGGGACACAGTGGATGATCTGCTAACGAAACGAGCTTTGGTTTACACGGTCGACAACTCGATCTCCGCCAGGAGATTTGGCAGCGCTCCTATGATCGTGGACGAGGATGAATTCACTCAATTGCAGAGCAAAAAAGAAGGTAATTATATCTTGGTGATTAAGTTTACTCAAAAATTCAGCCTTCCAAATTTTTTAACGTTAGAATTATCAAGAGTAGTTAAAATGATCGATCGTTCTGCGATTTTGTAAATTTGCAATGATACATTTTTAGAGATTAGAGAATAATTTTTGATAAAATATTAGGCGTGACCATAAGCAATGCCATTTTTTTCAAATTTAATAAACATTACGACAAACATCATTGACAATAATTAAAAAAAAGAATAATTTAAATAAAATAAAATTTTGTACGGTATCAAAAAACAGATACCCCTATAAATAAAAGCTTGTCCCCATATTACAAATTAGTTCTTTGTGTTGTAAATAAGTCAAGTTCTAAGAAGATACTTTCCCTCATAATGTACAATAAATTTTTCACTGAAATTTCAATATCGAAATGTCGGTTGGTTCTGTTCAGATGACTGGAGACTCTTCAAGAAGAAGAAGTCGGTAATCGTTCCCGTTCTGATCCTGATAAATCTGCTGAAGCTGAAGCTGTTGCTTCTACCAATCTTCCTGGGCGTTCATTTCATCAAGAAGCTATTAGTGCTTGCTACGATAATCATCCCGTCGCTTCTGACACGTTTGAAAATTTGCAAGGTCCCGCAACCACACCATCAGCAGGGCTATCCTTACCACATGTGGGGCACAGCTGCCGAAGCACCCGTTGATTATCCAACTGGTAAATGAACTAGAACAACGATCATGTTCTCTCTGTGTCACGCTTCGTTATTTCGGAACGATAGAAATTATATCGATTGCCAGAGACGATCACAGAGATGTTTTGCAGTGCAGATTGAATTTCAGGGGCTGAACGTGACGATCGAAAAATATTCAGTGTACAAGCCGAGTCAACGTGCTCGATGATATAATATTTCTCTCGTTGTCAATCAACTACAGTTACATAACACTCGATGATTCTTCAAACGTGGAATTGTCGACTACAAAGCATTTTAATAGCTCGTCAATGGTAGTGATTCCAGTAATAGCGCGTGTTTACGAATATGAAAAACTTGAGGGTTACTCGAGTGTGACGGCCGCCGCTCGACAGGCAATAACGACTGACACTCGCGTTTTTGTCAGTTTGAATACAATAGTTTGCAATAGATATTATATTTTGAGATACTAGAAAATGTCCGAAGCCGAGAAGAATCATTTACGATCTCATTTCTAAGGATATTGTAAATTTGGAAGAATCATTTAAAATTATTTCAAGTCTACATAAATTTTTTAATTTTTCCTCAGCGTACGAAGAGCCTTGGACCCACAGAAGCGACTACGTGAACCCAGTTTACTTTGGATACCAAGGTTACCGCAACCCTTACGGATGAAGCCAGGAAGCAACAGGAGATCATCGATCAACTTACTACTTGCCATTGCATCGAACCTCGAAAACGACGATCGTATTCCTTCTGCTTTCTTCTTCTTAGCAACTTCCCTAACTGCGTTCTCCACGTGTCTGCGGTTTCCTTCTCGCGACTCACTGATCCCCTTTTTTCGTTTCTAAACGTCCTAATCAAGCGACAACAATGCAAACAGGTTTTATTCAGGCTTCATGATTATCGTGCGCGAAATAACTTTCACGCGACGTGCTCGTTACCGTTATGATATTGATAACGAGCATCGTCCTATCAGAAATCGTTGTCACGAACAAGCGTTTCGACGATTTTTTCTCCTTCTCTGCGTGGCACGCGAGCCTCGAACGTCGTTTGCGGATACTATGGGTACCGTAAATCCGATGGAATTCCCGAACAACGCCTCGCGTGATGTCAACGCCGGCCACTTCCGGCACGAGGATTGAAGTACGGGGGTTGAACCGTGTGGTCCGCTCGAGAATGTCGAGACACGTATGTAGTTTGAGTAGAACGATCGTCGGCGATTAGGTCGAGTGTAAAAAAATTTTTTGGTAAAATAAAGTTATAAAGAAGAGCGAGAATGGTGTTTAAATTATCAGCTAAGATGTTTTACAATCTGTCTTACAACATGTAATAGCGTACAATTGTATTTCGGTGACGAGAGACTTCATTCATGGAGAGAGGAATAGATGAGCATTGTTCATTACTGTAATTACCGAGGATACGTCCTAGTATGACAATGACTTTTGACTCCGGAACAGTAAGCGTTTCACCAGAAGTTCACAGCTGCAGTCTAATTTCGCACAGAGCTCATTCCAACATGAATAATACGATCTTAACGTTTAGATCCAAAGTCATTCACAGATCTACAAAGATGTATATACTTTTAATTATTGCTTATAGCTTTGACCAATTGCTTCTGTCAATTCTTAGAAATTTTAAAATTTTGAACTTTGGTTCTGAGTTGGTTCTATTGATCAATTTCAAATTTCTAATTTTGAATTATATTCTAAAGGGAATTGATCGGTGCGATGGTCGAACGTTTCACAAATGTTTTCTCTCCTTTCCCAAGTTAGTCATCTTTTATCTCGAAATAAAATTGATCGAGGTTCAATAACCTTACGGTCACCCAAATCTTTCTGCTTGTTCTCCACTTTGAAATAGAATCAATTGACGTTTTACAAACATTCAGTTTTTTTCAATATTTCCCAAAATTGTCAATTTTTCTGGTTCAAGGTGGAGTCGAGCGATGTTAAGTTATTGAATTTCCCTTAACCGGACTTTCAATTTTAATTTGCTCGGTTTAATCGGCAAATGAAAATAAAATTTTCCCCTGCATATAAGCAGATATATATTAGAGAATTATATATAAATCAATTAGAGGTTAAAATAAAATCAACAAATGTTGCGAAATTCTCCAAATCTTTCGATGTGAGGTGGAGTCGGGCGATCCATCGCGATCGGTCGACGCAGGTGATGGTCAAGGTCGAAGCATTGGGAACTCGAAGGCGAGTGAGGCGGGCGAAGAGAAGTGTCCCGCGCACGAATGACCTACTGACAGATTTGGACGGCGCGGCGTGTGACGCGCGCTTCCGCACGCGCGTGTTGACCCATGCACGCATGCACGATCGACGAGACCGTTATAGGGCCACGTACGAGTTCGAGGCGGATGTGGCGCGGTCGTCCTCGCGCTCGATGGTTCCGCGGAGGCGAGGTGGATCGCGCCCCATGATCGTTCCACGCGATACCAGTTAACCATCCGCCGCGTTTAATAACAATGATCCGGCCGATAGGCAGATTGATGCGTTCGGGGCAGCGCGCCGCAGCGATCAGCGTGCAGCGGACACGCCAGCCTGCACTCGCCATAACTCGACCGTTACGTTGGGACCGGCAACGAATCGAGTATTAACATAACGGCACGCCACGCGATGCGTACTCCCGATGCTCGATATATCATGGATCGGTTTCAATGACTCGCGAATCGATGATTGTTGTCGTCGATTGTTGTCGTCTCCGATGCAAATTATAATGACCGGGGAAAAGGGGACCGGCGTTCCTCTGTAAATCGCGAACTGCATCGCCAGCGAAGATGGAAGAACTGCAAATTGAAACGAGCGACAATGGAATTTGGAATAATTACCAGTTAGAACGAATAGATTGCTGAAGCGACCGTAGCGATTGGAGCGGGTGAAAAAGAGAAACAGAATTGGTGGTAAAAGAAGCGAGTTACGGATTGGTTTTAAATATAGAGGCTACGATATCGAAACCTCTACTTTTCAGGTAGTTATTCGACTTTTACTTCTAACAAGCGGATTTAAAAATTTAAAAGGAATTCAAAAAATTCGACGAATTGGGAAAGATATTTTATACTACGTGAAAGAAATGTAGATACTGTTTCTCGTGAAAAATTGATTTTTCAATTTAACCAAAAAATTTACGCAATTTAATTTCGGATGAAAATTTAAATGACATTTCGAGTAGAATATGATAGTACGAATGGTGTCTCAGATTTTGTTTGCGAAGAAGAATTTGATAAAACATCGTAAACTATCGTAACACTTTGGAAGGTCTTTCGTCTCGTTTTTAAGGAAGCGTTAATGGAAAATTTATGCGTGTATGTAAAGTTGTACGGGGACATCCGATGGACAGAGAAGAAGCAGCGAAGCACTTTCTAAAACCAGTTAATCTTTTTTTGTTTTACAATCATTCTCATTTTTTGAACCTCTTTTTTTCAGACTAGCTTTTTGCTGTTGATTTGCTGAGAAGATGTGTTTCTTGCAACGTTTCAGAATTAGGTTGACAAACACATTTCCGGCAATAACGCGAGTTTCCCTCGAGTTATCTCGAGAACTGCAGTTCGTTCCAAAAAATTGTTGAATCGTTCATCAGCACTTGTCAAAGGTACAAAACAATTCGTTAATTAGTGACTCAACGCGATTTCGCGATTCATGAGGTTAGTCTCCTAACTCACCTAAATTGCCAATTGCCAGAGAAGTAAAAGAGATAATCCTCCGAGATCATAATCGAGACGTAATAATCCTTCGAGAGATAACAGAGATCACTGTGCACGATGGAAAAATTTAGTTAATTTGGTTTAGTGTTTCATTCCTCTTTGCTCACAGAGTGCAAAGTCATCGAACCTTCTTTTCTCTTCATTTTATTTCTCGAAGCGACCAACTCGAGATCAGAAGTCATCACGGTCCTCGAGCAACAGACGTAGGCGTGAAATTCTCGAAAACAAAAAAAGGGAACGGTGTGTTTCATCGTGACCTTATTCTGAAACGAATACGTTTCTACCTGTTGGGCGTAGCTGTGTATCATCGAAAGAGCTCGCAATAACAGTCGAAAAGGTATTGACTCGTAAACTTCAAGATTATGAATCTCTGAATTATATTGGACAAACTCTTGACGAAAAATCTGTCATCTACGTTTCATTCAAAGTTTCTCGAATATCACGCCAACGCTCCAACATCGATCTAATCTAAATCTCGAAACACATTTTCCTTTCTAGGTACGATCGACTCGATCTCAACGATTTCTTGAGATTAAGATTTCAGTCCACGTGCGCGATCAAATTTTCCTCGGCTGCGAGCGAAACACGCGGGCACGATCGGCGATTTCGAGGAATCGAAACCGAAGGAATAACCGAACGGTTCGGGAATTCGGGACGCGGCCACAGTGAAATCGCTCGTAAAAGTGTGCTCGGTGTCCAGTCTGTGTTTGGACTCGCACACGAGACACCCTTTTCTCCTGGTTAACGTCATTAACGTTCGCGATTTTTTTTTTTCTTTCGTGCGTTTCACGTACTCGTATCGAACGAGTACCACTTTGGAACGCTCGATGGAAAAACCAGCTTCCGGATGAAAGACGGTTCGCGTTAGTCGAGACGTTTTATTCGCGCGATCTTTTCGATAGGCAAGCGAAATAAAGTCGGAACCGGATTAGCGGCCTACTTCGATCTCAAACTCTACCTGTGCTAATATTTATGTCGATGGTGCAACGACACTGGGGACGCACGCGTTGAATACCGGTGATTTTCCACGAGCTTCGCGCATTTCGTCTCTTGATTCCGATTAGATTTCTCCTTGCGTTCGGCCACGCGATTGTCGACGAGTGTTGACGCACCACCCTGAATCTTTCCAAGTTTCTCGTCGATGATCCGTGCATTTATTTTTAATCGGTCGTTATAGTTTCGTGAGAAAATGAGAAAATTCTATATAGCTCTTATGTACGAATTAATCGTAGACTGACACGTACAGTCTCACAGTTACGAGAGTTATGATCGATTACGAGAAGGTTATTCGAAGAATGTACGAATTAATTAATTGACACGAACGTAATAATAATAATAAAAAAAAATTCGATATTATCGTCTTTGTTGTGATCTTTTAAACGGAGGTAATTCTACATTCACAGTGTAGAATTATAAAAAGAAAAACGAACGATAAATCTTTTCACAGTTCAGTTAATTGAATTCACGAGTAAGCGTTCCTCCATTTATTAAAGTTCAGCCATTTGTAACAGTGTTATCGTAGCACAGTGCCACGTTTGTCATTAAAACAGGATAGCGAATTCTTACGAAAGAAAGAAAGAAAAACATCGATGCTCGTTGTAATATTTAACAGGCGAAACGGTTCTCTGTCTACCTGTCATCAGAGGCACGAATTTGC